TCGCAGGACATGGCGGGCGTCCTGAAGCCCCAGGCCTCCACCCTGCTGGTCAAGGCCCTGCGGGAACACTTCCCCAGCGTCCCCCTGCACATCCACACCCACGACACCTCCGGAGCAGGCGTCGCCTCCATGCTGGCCTGCGCCGCCGCCGGGGCCGACATTGTGGACGTGGCTGTCGACGCCATGTCTGGAATGACCTCCCAGCCCAGCATGGGCGCCATGGTGGCCTGCACCCGTGGGACGCAACACGACACAGGTCAGCAGCCGGGCCGGGGAGGGGGGCAGCAGGCTGCCTAGTGGTCGGAGCCAGGAGGCGGGGACCGTCCTAAGACAGATGCCTGCCATGACTCTGTGGGGCAGAGCAGGGGCTGGTGGGGGGGGCACTATCTGTCAGGGAAGACCTGTCGGTGGATTTACTGTCTGGGTAGAAGGGGTGGGCTAGATGACCTTTGGATTTCTCCCCAACTTTAGAATTCTAGGTGTCTTTGAGCCCCAGCAATGGGAATGGGGGGGGAGGAAAGGGGGACCCTCAGCTTGAGGAAAAGGAAGGTGAGGCTGTGTGGCAGGGACATGCCGGAGGCCAGCCCAGAGGGAGAAGAGAAGCGCTGGCCAGAGGTCCTCCGCGTGGACGGGAGCCCCCTCGGCTCGCAAGACGGAAAGAGCTCTCCTATGCAGATGGGAGTTCTCTTGGCCAGCGAAGCGACGGCAGCCATAGCCTCACAGGGAGGCCTCTTCCACCCCACTTGGCTTCTCCTGGCCTGCGTCTGCTTCCCATTCACGGCGTGGGGTGGGAGGGACGGTCATCCATCCACGCGACACCTTACAGGTAGGTGTACAGGCAGGTTGAGGCCAAAGCTCAGGACCCGGGAGAAAGCGGAGCGGCGTGGTCATAACAGCTCCACGGCCAGATCCTCTCTCCGAGGCCCATGGAGCTCCTCCTTGTTATTGTTGTTTCTTTAATATGGAAATAATTCTCTAAGGCCAGCCAGAAGGCTTCTTTAGTACACACTTAAAACACTTTTATATCCTGCCTTGTGAAATAAAAGAGTCGCCAAGCAGCTTACGACAACAATTTATATTGTTCTATATTGCAACAGTGCAATATAGAAGAGTGAACTTGTGCTGTACAAAGAGGTCTTAAGAAACCACCCCAGAAAATATAGAATGAGCAAGAAAAACAGGCTGAAGAGAAGAAGCAGAGGTGCTTTTGGGTTGAAGAAGCCCCCGTGAAGCCTTTTCACCTTTTTCATCCCTCGGAGGTCTGCCGAGGAGGAGAAGGAACAACACCTCCCCGTACGGATGGGGGCCCGAGTCTCCCTCCTCATTAGGCAGCCTCTCTGATTTTGTCTTCTGTCGAAGGAAGCCCTTCTTTCCACTGGCAGAAAAATTTCTAAATCAAAAGCGCCGGAGAGATGGAAGACTCTAATAAATATTTATTCAACTTCTGCAGTTCAGCACTTTTATGACATAAAACGCAGCGAGAGCCCAAGAACAAAGGCGAGAGCCAAGTAGCGGCAAGGGAAGAAGGCAGATCATTTCAAAAACCGTCTCAGGGTTTCTGAAAACTCTGCCTTCCAGTCCAAATACCTATTTACGGAGTGGCTTCTAGTAACGTGGAACGCTTGAGACTTCCTCAAATATTTTGCAGCCAGACAGTCTTAAGCGCTATATGTTAATTATTTTTCCTTAAGCTTAGGGAGAAATCACTAACGAGAAAAGTATCTCTGGTCTCTCTGCATTTGTTAGGATTTTGCAGAGACCAAGCCGAGACCTTCTAATAATACCCAGTTTTCAAAAACCAGGTGGCCGTTCCCTAGTTTGGGCCTCATCCACATTTCCTTCCTTTGACTCCACCCCACCTCCACCCACCCACCCCCATCGTTGGGACAGCCCCGCCTCTGTCCATCATCTGCTTTGAACCCAAATTTGGACCTCCTCTTTTCCTCCAGGTGCATCAGTGTTGTAAGAAAAGGGAGATTTGTTAAAAAATAACATTAGTATGATTAGCTCTTCAGCTGCGCAGCTTCTAATGGGAGGCTTTTATCAACGGCAAGAAGCCCAAACGGGGCTGATGGACAAAGATCTGGCCTGAATTGCCTCTGACTTGGAGGGGGGAAAAAGAGTTGACAGGAAAATGACCTTGCTAGCTGAAAACCAGGCGAAAACAGCAGCTGCAGTCAGGTTGGTTAGAAAAACAAAGGCAGGCTTTAAAAAGAAAGAGCAAACATAATTCCTGCCTCCCTACATCTGCTTAATTTACATCCTCTATGAGATCACAGGGAACAATCAATTCCATCTTGGAGTGGCAGAAAAAGATAAGAGGAAGTTCAGGGAAGTATTACAAGATGCCAGAATTAGGAGCCTGTTGGAGAATTAAAGAATGCCAGGGCTGAGGATAAATCCAGGTTTCTCTCTCCCTATAGTCTAACCGGGATGACTGGTCGCAGACTTGGGCAGAAGGGGGGCGCAGGTGGGAATGGGGGTGGGTGTCTGGGGGAGATTCAATGCAGAAAGTCAGATGGATGTTGCAAATCCTCTTGGTGGGGGGAGAGGAAGCGGGATATGGGCCTCCATCCTTCCCTGGAGTGGGACTGCCAGAGGTCCTGATTCGAGACAGAGGGGAAGAGTCCAGTTCCTTCAAATACCCAAAGGACCCCCCCCCAAAAAAAAAAGAGAGAGAGAAAACCAGTCCAGGTCTTTCCACCCAGCCTTTGTGTTGATGGTTTAATGGGTCTGATGGCAGGGGGGGGGTTGTCAAGAAAGCGGTCAGGGAGACATGGCTTCTCCTCCACATGCACACCCAGCATGGAGCTCACATCAAGGATTCTACCCCACCCCACACGCATGAAACAGAAAAGGAAAGAAAAGGGGGGGGGGAAAACCTTTACGACCCACCCCAGATGTGTTTGCCTCTTTGGCGCTCCAGGGATCCAGATGGAGAAGGTCTTCGACTACAGCGAGTACTGGGAGGTGGCCCGCGGCCTCTACGCCCCCTTCGACTGCACGGCCACCATGAAGTCCGGCAACGCCGACGTCTACGAGAACGAGATCCCGGGGGGCCAGTACACCAACCTCCACTTCCAGGCGCACAGCATGGGGCTGGGCAACCGGTTCAAGCAGGTGAAGAAGGCCTACGTGGAGGCCAACAAGCTCCTGGGGGACCTGATCAAGGTGAGGACCGGGAGGGGGGGCACCGGCCGCAGGGAGGGAAGGAGGGAGGGAGGGGGGTATCTCTCTCCTCCTCTTCTTTCAACCTGCAGAGGAAGAGGGAGGGGCTCCTTGTTTTTGTGTGTGGAGGGGGAACCTCTTCTTTAAAGGGCCACCAGAACTGCTCAAAGGCGGCAGCTGCGTTTGGAGCTTCTTTGGGCTTTCTCTCGAGGAGGCTGGTGCCTTTACGGCTGCCGGCCATTCTTTCTTCAGTAAAGCATCTGGAGACTGAGCCCTCGGAGGCACGGCTGAGGCCGTTTGGGCTGATGATAAGGGAGAGGTCAGAAGGGCTGCCACGTGTTGTCAAGTCTGTGGAACTCCTTGCCACAGGATGTGGTGACAACATCGGGCCTAGATGCCTTGAATAGGGAATGGGGCCGATTCCTGGAGGAAAAATCCATCACAGGTGACAAGCCATAATGGGGATGGATCATCGCCGCTGGGGGGTGGGGGTGGGGTTGGGCCTTCCAGTGTTTCTCACAAGGGGTTCAGGAAACGGGTTCCTGATGGAGAGCCCCACGGCCCTTCTGCTCAGATCCTCCCTCTCTTCCCCAATCGGACCACAAGGCCCCTTTCCTCCCTGGGTCGGAGGGGAGGAGCTGAGACCACCACCACCACCACCAGCAAGCAGCTCAAAGCGGTGACAGTCTCAATGACGCCATCGGAAAAACAAACCCACCGCTCTTCTCCTGCTCTTCCATCTTGGAGAGCCTCAGTCGCCACTCGGGGCTGATTGGGGGGGGGGACACACAGCCCACCCTCTCCCATCCTGCCGGGACGCCTGAGCTCTCTCCTCTTTCCCCCTTCTCTCCACCCCCCCCCACAGGTGACCCCTTCCTCCAAGATCGTGGGCGACCTGGCCCAGTTCATGGTCCAGAACAACCTGACCCGGGAGGAGGTGGAGGCGCAGGCCGACGAACTCTCCTTCCCGCTCTCGGTGGTAGAGTTCCTGCAGGGCTACATCGGCGTCCCCTACGGGGGCTTCCCGGAGCCCCTCCGCTCCAAGGTGGGCTTCCGGGGCTGACTCCTACACGTGGGCGCATTGCATGCAAGTCACGTTCAGAAAGGCCGCTCTTAAATGTGCGGAGTTCCTCTTGGACCCAGAGAGAACGGACGCCTGGCCTGGCCTGGCCCAGAGAGATTCCCTTGATCCATGTCCTGATGGGATGTGTGGGTTTCCCCTAAAAATATCCTGGGTGTGGTTCAGGTCTGGCTGTTGCAGCAGAAGGTCCAGGCGGGTCTGGTGGGACCTCGGAGATGACCGGGTGCTGTCGGACGTCCGGCTTTCTGGGTCCCCTTAAGAGACACGAGTGCTGTCGGACGTCCGGCTTTCTGGGTCCTCTTGAGAGACACGAAAGGGACACACACACACAGAGACAGACAGACACACACTCAAGTGACAAAGGCAGATCTAGGCACCTGACACACGGGGGTGGGGGAAGCACCTGTCCGGGAAAGCTCTAATGCCCAGTAAACATTGCTCTGTGTGTGTGTGTGTGGGGGGGGGAAGCTGGGGTCACAGTCCCACACGAGTCTCTCCTTGTTTGCCCGTCTCTTTTCTCTGCTGAATGAGTGCCAAACACGGCTGGAAGATTTTGAAAACCACCCAACCCGAGAAGGGATGCTTCTGGGGTGAACTTGCTCTGAGTCCAGGCTTCCCCTTTAGATGGCAGTGACTGAATGGGGCGGGGGGGCGGATGGTCTCCCTTGTTGCCGCCAGAGTAGGGAGTCTTCTCTCCTCCTCCCTGGATTACAGTTCCCATTATCTTGCGTACTTTGCATGCCAAGGGAACGCTGCCAGTGGGACGACCGGGACGACCTCCCAGGAGGGTTTTCTGCCTCCAAGACAAGAACCAGTCTTTGGCCAGCTCTGTTTTGGGGGCAGGGCAGGCGCCATCAGACCTCTCTCCTCTTGTCCTGCACCCCCCCACCCCCGCCCTCCAGGTGCTGAAAGACCTGCCCCGCATAGAGGGGCGCCCGGGGGCCTCGCTGCCCCCCCTGGACTTCGAGAAGCTGGAGAAGGAGCTGTGCGAGAAGCACGAGGAGATCACCCCGGAGGACGTCCTCTCGGCGGCCATGTACCCCAAGGTCTTCCACGAGTTCAAGGACTTCACGGCCACCTTCGGGCCCGTCGAGTGCCTCAACACTCGGCTCTTCCTGGAGGGGCCCAAGATCGCCGAAGAGTTCGAGGTGACGCATGAGGGCGGCGGGGCATCGGGCGGGCCTGGGGGAGGGGGGGAAGAAGAGATCCCCATGGGGGCCTTGGGCAGGTGGGACCTCCCTTCCCCACGGAGGGGGCCAAGGACCGAGAATCAAACCACTGGGCAGGCGGGCGGGCAGGCGGGCGGGCAGCCCCACCACCCCCCAGCAAACCCTGGGGTTCCGACCCAGCCTTTCTCTCTCGCCTTGGGTCCCAGAGAGCCCCAGAAGAGGGATGTCCGGCCACCCTCGGGGTGTCCTGGAAGGGGGTGTGTATCCTTCTTCTCCCTTCGGGGGCCTTTTCCTGCCTTCCGGGGTCCAGCCGCTGACCCTTTTTCCTTCCCCAGGTGGAGCTGGAGCGGGGGAAGACCCTCCACATCAAGGCCTTGGCCCTCGGGGACCTCAACCGGGCCGGCCAGAGAGAAGTCTTCTTTGAGCTCAACGGGCAACTGCGCTCCATCCTGGTCAAGGACACCAAAGCCATGAAGTTATGGTGAATTTTTTCCCCCCAACTTTTGACAGCTGTCAAAATCTGACAGCTCCATTATTTCCTATGGGGGAAGAAAAAATTCACAAAAAATTAATGAAGACTCGGCACCTGTTCTAAATTCTTGGGTTCGTTAGAGGACCCCCTAAGTTGTGTGCAAACCTGATTTGGCTTTGATCTGACTTTTCGTTAATTAATGGTGAATTTTTTCCCCCCAACTTTTGACAGCTGTCAAAATCTGACAGCTCCATTATTTCCTATGGGGGAAGAAAAAATTCACAAAAAATTAATGAAGACTCGGCACCTGTTCTAAATTCTTGGGTTCGTTAGAGGACCCCCTAAGTTGTGTGCAAACCTGATTTGGCTTTGATCTGACTTTTCGTTAATTAATGGTGAATTTTTTTCCCCCAACTTTTGACAGCTGTCAAAATCTGACAGCTCCATTATTTCCTATGGGGGAAGAAAAAATTCACAAAAAATTAATGAAGACTCGGCACCTGTTCTAAATTCTTGGGTTCGTTAGAGGACCCCCTAAGTTGTGTGCAAACCTGATTTGGCTTTGATCTGACTTTTCGTTAATTAATGGTGAATTTTTTTCCCCCAACTTTTGACAGCTGTCAAAATCTGACAGCTCCATTATTTCCTATGGGGGAAGAAAAAATTCACAAAAAATTAATGAAGACTCAGCAACTGTTCTAAATTCTTGGGTTCGTTAGAGGACCCCCTAAGTTGTGTGCAAACCTGATTTGGCTTTGATCTGAACTTTCGTTAATTTTTTGTAAATTGTTTTCTCCCCCATAGGAAAGCATGGAGCTGTCAGATTTTGACAGGTCCATTGGTTCCTATGGGCCAAAAAAATAAATAAATCACAAAACATTAACGAAAAGTCAGATCAAAGCCAAATCAGGTTTGCACATGACTTAAGGGGTCCTCTAACGAATCCAAGCATTTAGAACCGTTTTTGACCCTTCTAAGACACTTTTTAAATTGAAAAAAAAAACATTGTTAAGTGAAGCAGGGGACCTAAAATCGCAATTGGTTCCTATGGGCCAAAAAAATAAATAAATCACAAAACATTAACGAAAAGTCAGATCAAAGCCAAATCAGGTTTGCACATGACTTAAGGGGTCCTCTAACGAATCCAAGCATTTAGAACCGTTTTTGACCCTTCTAAGACACTTTTTAAATTGAAAAAAAAAACATTGTTAAGTGAAGCAGGGGACCTAAAATCGCATTCGTTATGCGAAGCATGGTCCCAAACTTCGCTAAGCGAAAATCGCCCATAGGAAACATCGTTATGCGATGCATATTATTTTCTAAAAAACATCGTTATGCGAATTCATCGCTAAACGAGGCAATCGTTAAGCGAGGCACCACTGTAATTGAAGACTTCATAAACCCAGCTGAACAGAAAAGGAACTTTAAAACGTCAAGGGAGGAAAGATCCACTGCTTGTTGATAAAACTATAATAAAAGAACGCAAAGGGGGGGGGACCCAAATCTTAACATGGCCTGGATAGACTTTTTTAAAAAGACATTGGGCTCATTGCCACACAGCTGGATTAATACCTGCCCAAATTTTGGGGGGGATTAGTAAAAATATTTAGAAGTTCCTGAAGAAAAAAAAACATGGACAAATGGCCTATGGCGAAGAAACTGGGGAAGGTAACGCAGTTTAACATGTCACTAGTGTCCATGCCAATAATTTTAAATAAAACTGATTGGGCTACCCTGTTTCAGAACAAGCAGGGAAAATTAATCCTTTTTAAAATCATATTTTCTCTTTAAAAATTACTTACTGGAAGCATTAAAACCTCAAGAATGAAATGAAGCCGTTTCAATGCGTGACACCTTAAGGATTTCACATAGCTATAAAATGTAACTTTAAAATTATAAGACACTTAAAAGCCTTCTGCAGCGTCCTCTCCATTTTCAGCTGTCTAAAGGCTTAGCCTGGCCAGAGGGGCTTCCCTTCTTCCTGCCTTAAACCTGCACTGCTCTAGAGTCCTTTTATAGCAAGAAGGAGACGTTTCTCTTCCAAGAGTTCTGTTTAATTTTTCTCACTTTACTGGTTGTTTGCATACAAAGCGGAATCCAAATAAAAGCAAAGGAACTTTACTTTTCTAGTCAAAACTGTTGACGGGCCTTTAGGACCCCTTTTGCTGCCTACGAAGCAGGAAAAATGTGTCAGAGGAGACCAAAATATTTTGCTCTGAGCCCAAAGGCCACTACGTCGGCTAAACCCTCCCCTCCTCTTCCAGTGACACTTATTTAAAATATAATGCAGCTCCAGGTTCATATAGCACACTCGGGAAGTGTAGTGACTCTCGCTGATATAACAGGTCATACTTTTTGGCAAGGTGACTCCTCATCCACAGACACACACACACACCCTCAATCATTTGAACACTTCCTTAACCCCCTTTGTGAAATTCCCCACTTTGGTGTGACACTGTTTTTCTCTCCTCCCCCTGAACGGCCCGCCAGGAGATGCACTTTCACCCAAAGGCCCTGAAGGACGTCAAGGGCCAAGTGGGGGCCCCGATGCCCGGGAAGGTGATTGACATCAAGGTGAAGGAAGGGGGGACCATCGAGAAGGGGCAGCCCCTCTGTGTCCTGAGCGCCATGAAGATGGAGATGGTGGTCAACTCGCCGCTGACCGGAACAATCAAGAAAATCCATGTCAAGCCAGACATGAGCCTGGAAGGGGACGACTTGATCCTGGAGATTGAGTAGCTCCACCACCCCCCACCCCAGGACATGAACCGCAAGAGCCTCTCCCCCGTCTCCCCGAATCCCTGCGCCTCCTCTTCCCACCCTCTTGGCTCGCTGAATGTCGGAAGCCCCCCCCCAACACACCCACCCCAAAGGCCCAAACCCACCTGCTGCCTCTAGAAATGGGGTGCAGGCGGATCCTATGGGCAAAGGCAGGGGCCCTTGATCCCAAGGTACGGGTCGGAGGAAGCGAGAGGGGTCCTGATTCTTTTTTTTTGGAGTGGGGAGTTTTCAGTGGCTTCCAAGGAGTGAGGAAAGCAGAATCCATTTTGGTCTCCCTTCTGTGCCCCGAGTGTGAAGCGTTGGAGAAAAGAGAGGGAGGGCTCCTGCCTACGACCCATGAGATCACCTGCCCGCTTAATCCTGGACCCTGTGGACCAATTTGGGCAAGGGGGGGGGGAGAAGGAGACCAGCCCCTTCTCTGCTCAGCACCTTCAGTCTTCCTTCACCTCCCTCCCTCCTGGTTTCTTCTCCCCCCCCCCACCCCAGTTGTATTTAGAGTTGTCCTTTCATCTCCAGCATTGCCTTATTTTAGCTGGGGAGGGGTGTCCTCTCCCATCACCTCCACGCCCTCCCTCTTCACTTGCCAAATTAGAGATGGCGCGTCTCCCCAGTGAGCCTGCGTTTGGGGGGGGGGCTGTCGGACTGGTTTGGGCTGAGCCTGAGCGCTCAACACCCCTCTCCTCCTCTTCCTATGACTACAAAGCCCATCTCAGCCACTGTGGCACAAGGACAGCTTGGAGGGTGTCTTGTTTACAGGTTGTTCACCAAGGGCTGGGTATGTCGTTCTTTTTTGGGGGGGGCGACGTGACCCCCTCCTTCTGCCCACCCCACTGGTGAGGGATCAAAATGAACCTTGGAAGGAGAAGAGTTCCCTGCCCCGGGTCAGCTGGACCCGAGCCCAGAAGGAAGGAAGGGCATCATCATCGGAGGCATCGTGCAGGGGGGCAGGAGGCGGGGGGCTTTCTGCTGATGACGATAAAACTTGTGGGTAAAACCCACAGACTTTTTGCAAAGAAGCCCAGAAAGAAATGAAGCGATGTGAAGCGGCCTCCGTCTCTGACTCTTTTTCTCTCCATCCCCCTGCCCCCATATCTGTCTCAGGGAGGGACCGTTTCCCAAAGAAAGACCTGTTTTTTTGGGGGGGGGGCTGTGTGGATCAAGTATCAAGCCATGAGGAAGGGAGCCCCGTTATAAGGGTGTTAACCCCCCCTCCCCGGCGGCCTGGCTTTGAATGCCACCTCTGGACCGCTCCTCACCTGTTCCTCTCCGTGGCATTGTGTCCCGTGGCCCCACCAGGGTCAGGACTCCCCTGCCCCTTCCAGCCTCACACCTCTGTCCAACCACCTCCTGAAACATCTCCTGGGAGACGGAGCGCACCCCTCCAAGCCTCTGGGCAGGCTCTGAAGTCCGGCTTGTCCCTCGGGCAGCGTTTTCCAACCGTTCTGGAGGCACCGCCTCAAAGTTGTACGATTTGTCTGGCCTCAGGTTTTTGCAGACGACCTTTGAGGAAGCATGCCACTACCTGCCAAAACGGGTGCCCTTCTGAAAATGGTTCATCTTTAAGGTGTCACAAGACTCTTTGTTGGTTTGGCTGCAGCCCTTGGGTGTTTGTGGGGAATCTCTGCCCCCTAGACTAAGGGGTGGTGGGTGTCCCGTACGACAAGGGAGCAGGTGCTGAAGGAGGCCAGAATGAGGAGCCAAGTGGGGCGCCTCTAAGGTATTTGGGGAGGGGAGAGAATACAGGACAACTTCCCAGAACACAAATCCAGTCCTGGAAGCGGGAGAGGAGGTGAAAACTGACCAGGGTGCCAAGTCTCACACTGCGTGGCTCCCACGTGGCCAACGGTGGCTTCCTTCCACCACTCAGCACAAAGGGAAAGGTGCACCCACCTCTTCTACCTGCAACAGCAGGGGGTGAGGCTTACCTGGATGGATGGAGCAAACAGAGAAGAGGGGTGTCAGCCGCGCCCACCACAGAAGGGGGGCGGCGACAGCCCTTCTCCAAGGATTGCATTGGAAGACAAGGTCCCGTTGAATCTGATTCATGGCAACGGGCAAACTCCGTTGTAGTTATTCGGGTGGGGCGAGAGTTTGGGACGGAAGGTTAATCTCCAGAACTCGGGACGGAAAGAGACCAGAGCAACGAGTGCTTTTTCTCAAAGGGGATCCAGGAAAGCACCCTCTGCCCTGCTTAATCCATATCACGGGGGGGGGGGGCGGGAACCGGCAGCAGAAGGGGCAAAGGTAAAACGTGTAAGCTGCCAGGGAAGAGGCCGGTTCGGCTGCAGGAAATGGGTGTGGCTTTTGGAAAGAGTCTCACAAAGATTTTTACAGGGAAGGACAATCCTTAAAGCTGCTGACCTTCCGAATGAAGAGTGTTCAAACTCCGAAGACTAATGAATTTATTAAATGTATCAAGCAAGAGTGTTGTGGCTGGTGATCCGTTTCAGCTGCCATTACTAAGATGATAAGAATCATCACCCACTTTGGCACTTAATTCCCCTCCAGCTTCACTAATTGCAATTCTCTCCTGCAGCTAACATGCCGTCTGCAGAAACTTGCACTACTTTCTGTACAAGATGCCGCAATATATTCTGCAGTTTTTGCTGCAATCGGTTCACTCAGCCACTGGGGGGGGAATTCCTCCCCCAAGATGGTCCACAATCAAAATCTCTCCCCCCAATGACTGCTTGGGCATTTTAGCTTTTATGGGGGCCACAGAAAGTTGGACTACATCGTCCACCCTTGCAGTGATGGGAGGTGGGAATCCCTAATGGCAGCCCAAGGATCTGGGAGGTGGTGGGGGGGGCTTCCTTTTAAAAAAATTCCAAGGAAGAAGCCAATTTAGTCTCTTACAGCAAAAACAACTCAAGAGAGGCAACCAGTTTCTTCTGACGTGCATTAGGCCTCAATGGATGGGAGATGTTTTTTTCAGGCTTGCTTTAGCGACACAGAGATTAAGGGTACCAATGAATGGCCCCCTTTAAAAACAGTGGGGAGGGGCTGCCTGACAAACTGTCCTGGGGAGGGAGGAGATGATCCCAAAGGAGGGAGAAGTCTTGTTCTCCAATCGGAAACGTAAGACGGAGCGAACCGAGCTTCCACAACATCAGCCCTTTGAATCTGGGACATTATTAGTAGCGTATAAGTTAAGTTTTGAACTACTCGCAAGAACTGGATGCGCAGCATGGAAGATAATGAATCATGATCGCGAACGTGCTGTTTGTTTCTGTTTCTTGTTTGTTTTTCTTTGTTTCTTGGTTTGTTTTATCTCCTTAATAGTTGATTAAAAGTATCGCCTGTTCCTGCATTTGTATAAGACAGAAACAGGGAGAAGAAACACTTTAAATAAACACTATGTGTTGGTAGTAGGCGTGATCCAAAGGGTTACAAATGCAGGCACTAGAAATCCCCTAATCTCAAATTTGGATCTGGCATACAAAGACTACCAACAAGAGAAACAGTTGCATTTTTGTTTCTTGTTTTTATCTGAAATGCTTGCCCAGACTACAAGTGCTACTTCTTTGTAAACAAAATGTGGATTGTTTAAGAGTGTGTGCTTGTAAGGGCGGGCTCCACGGGGGGGGGGGGGGGAGAGGCTGTGAAACCTTTCTACGCATCCATGATATTTCTGACTTACTCAGGAGGGTGTGCAACGTTCAGGTTTTATCCCCCACCCCACCCAAAAAATACACTGAAGCTGCAGGAAAGGCCGGACCTACTGCTGAGAAGGGTGGATCATCTCACCTAAAAGAACGTAAGAAAATGAGGGGAAACCACATTTATCCAGCGCTGCTTTTGAGATCGAAGCTTTCCTGGAAAGGGAACCCTAGCAAAAAAAAAAAGAGAGAGAGCGAGAGAGAGAGAGACAGAGAGAGGAACCCAAAGGGGGTGAGGATTTCCCCCAC